AGATAGATTGGCTAATTGGATATCAATCGTTCCGTCGGCAAAGCCTCGAGTCCAGCGCACACCATCCACACCATCTTCGCAGAGAAGAAAAAAATCCATCTACTTTGCATCTCTGTTTAAGCTTGTCGTCCTATTAGACGGTGCCCCATCATCGAACCCCCCTGCACGAAGTTGCATCCTCCCCTCCGTGTGCCTGGGCCACGCCTTGCCGCACACAACGGCGCTGAGTTGTCCGTGCGTGATGGAGGGTATCATGGCAGGGGAGGCGTGTAGATGATAAGTACGTACTATTTGTAGCATTCCGAGATATGTACGCTTGGATAGTCGTGTTGCAGTCAGGATTGTGTCTTCACAACTTGTTCGTCTTTCGCCGAATAGTTTAGGACACGGAACGAACCAAAGGTCCGAGTCAAGTCCTGAGGGCTTTGTGAGTGGGCAGCCGGATGCGCTGTTGGAGGACGACACCCGCCTTGTCATGCAATGCAAATGCAATGCACTGCAAAACAAAGGCACCTGGCTTCTTGTGGAGAAACAAGTCAGTCATCTTTCATCTCTTTCCAATCTCGACGAATCTCGCGTCAGTATTCCGTTCCAGTCATCATCCACCGGTTCATCTCGCTTTCATGGCCTCAAATCGATCAATGTGAGGCGGGCAGATCAGTCGACTCCATGATCTCCAGGAGACTGAATGATTGAAGCACAGCAGCTTGAACTAAATCTGACGCACAGCTCGCAACGCAGGGCTCGCAAGTCATGCCACCTGGGTGATAGGCCCTCGGATTTCGTGGTAGGACTTGCCATTCAAGACGCACCAAGACACGATCATCGCAAGTGATGCGCAACTAACAAGATCGCGAGGTGGATGAGCCAGGATGATGCTCGTTTGGTGCCGACGCTGATCGGACGTCGCTCAAGGACATCCCAGGTCCGGGGACGCAGTAACAGTGAAACAATAGAGAAAGTTACAACGAATTTCGAACGAAGCAACTACCCGTATCGGATGCGCATGAACCGTGACAGCTCTTGAGAGGGTTAAGTGACGACTTCAGTTTCTGAGTGGCGGGTAGCGACAGGAACCGTTGAAGACGTGTCACAGTGGCTCATGATAGCGACGTCAAAGGGGCGCCGTTGTCGCAGACTCCAGAACTGTCACCATACAGCAGAGCTGCAGCCCAGAATCTGCACATAACCGGGGCAACGTCTCCATTCGTAGCTGTCGGTTGACAGGCCGGGTTTGTCAGGGACCTCCTACAACGAGCGTCGGTCCGGCTTTGCAGCTTATGCAGAGTGTAGGGGTTTAAGCCGGCTGAAGAATGTATTGATATGATCAGTGATGGATGTTTCCCAATGTCGAGTGCTCATGTGGCTGATCGTTTGCCTCATGGCTCAGGCTACCGTGGGACGTATGTGGAAGTCAGAGAGAGCATCTTTCTGAGTTGATATTGGCCTTGCTAAGACTTTGGACACCCCAAGGATCAGGATTGGGCATTTTATTTTGGCTCGTAATCCATCCATATCGGTCTCTACGATAGTCTTTGTTGAACCGTATCGTCCCAGACGCAACGATTAGATCATTCGCCCTCGCGAATTCTCAAGATTCGTCAGACAAACCTCGCAAGCTAAGAGTCCATCTAGGACAAATGTCCAAGCATGTACCCTGTCACAGATAGTCTGAGCTAACTGTGCCAATGCTCACCAACTAGATAAAGATGGTGGATGGTGGATCTTGCGGTGTACCTTGTGGTGACTGGTCGGTAGTAGCAAGCGGGGGAGGGGCGAGAAATAAGGAAGAAATGCCGTTTGTACTGAAAAAGACCCATTGCAATGGATGCAATCATGCTACATTTGTCCAAGCATCATCCAATCAATTGTTGGCATAATTCGACCGGTTCTTTTCGCAATGGAATGGCGTTGGACAAAAGGTTAAACAGATCGAGGATGGTGAAGCCAAAAGCTCAGGAATCTGGACATGAAGCATCTCAAAAGTCGTGTTGAAGTCGTGATAGTGGATCCTTGGAGTTGTATGAAGGCAATGGGGTTCTTGGTGTTACATGGCCCATCAATTGCTTCATGGCGAGCTCGATTAAGTTCTATCAATAAGAGATATCTCAGATATTGTCAATGAGGCTCTGCGTGATTGTGGTAGCAAAATTGATATGGCACGTGGAACATCCAAGATTGAATCAAGCAGAGGAAAAAGCAAATCCAACCAAAACGAAAATGGCTGCCATCATCAATGGATGTAAGATACTTAGGTAGGTAGCTGGCTACCAGGAAGGTACGTTACGCACGCACGCACTTTCCTCCCCCCACCATCCCACCAACTTGATGCGTCCAGCTCATCTCATGGATGGATCCTTCCTCCTTCCATTCTTAAGAGCTTCCACTACGTATTGCACGCACCTGCCAGACAGAAAAGCTCCTGCAAATGGCACACCATCTTCGTAGAGAAGGTGCCAGAGACACCTGTCGATTGAGGTGACCCCTCGATCGGGTCCCTGGAATTCAATACCGGACCTTGTCTTGTCTGTCTTGTCTTTCACCCCATACAATCAATTGCATATCAAACCCACCGTCACAGCAACGTCTGGTAATCGTTTTGACAACGCATCACTACATTACATTACCTTACCTTACCTCCTGTGCTCTGCTGTAAAGGTACAGACAGTTACAGGTCAGAACAATGCCAGAAATTGCCCGACTTGATGCACCTCTACCCGACCCGCCGCCTTGCGTTCGCTTCTCAATTCACACCCTGTCAACCGACGCGGAGAGCCAATCCTCGGTCAAACCATTGCAATGCCTATCTTGATCATTACCTCTTCCTTCAGTCTCGACAGACATACATGTCTGGGCTTTTTGGTTAAAACGCCGCCAGCGAACAAGATGCAATTGGAGGGGGGTGTGGGCGAGATTGTGTTTGGTGCTTTAGAGGGGAAATGAAAATCCAAGGCTGCTTTTCCATCAACTTTGTCTTTTGGCTTTGCCTAGCGTCAGCGCGCTTGTTTGCAACTCTCTCCGCCTCCGTCTCCATTCTCCATGCTCCTTGCCTACTCCCCTGCAGCAAGGAGCAAGATGCAGTCCTAATGCATCCCAAAATTATGCGGATACATTCAGGAAGCCTGCATTCTCCAGTATCCGCTCCTCCGCGCAGGTGTCTTGCTATTTTCCTGCCCATAATGCTTGAACTGGACCTGAAGATGGAATGCCAAGGTCCTAACCGGCGGTTGGCGATCTCTCACGAATATTCATTTACACGGTGAGGCAACCAATGTCTTTTTTCTTCAGACACCCACCACCAATGTTACCCGCTACTCCAAACGGTACCGGAACCCGGCCGATTGAGATGTACTCTGTATGGTACAGATATGCCTTTGTGAGGGTGTGGGCTTTGGTGTCTACTTTACTTACCTAGGTCCATCTAGCCAACTCTCCAGCCAGTCAGCGTTGATTAGGTCGTTCGTTGCGCTGTCCGTTTGGTCCTTTCTTACCTGCGATCCATTTACCTGCTTTCAGTCCGTAACTAGCTATCACCAAAAAGCAGCGTGCCAGCCTAGTTTACATCGGCTATGTCCCTCACGTCACTGGACCAAGAGCCCAATCCAAGCCTGGCCTCGACTTGCCTCCTCCGCTTCTCAACGACCAAGCCCGTGACGCTCAGACGACTAACACTGTCGGTCTTTAGTCAATCGCTCCAGACAAGCAAATATCGGTGGGAAAACTTTTGCCCCCAAGACAAATTATACACATGGTCCAATCCCTTCTCAACGTTTGGACCCAAGGGCTAGTGCAGCCACTTGTGTCCGTTGATGGACCCGGATATGCATGGCATCTTACCAGCATCTTACTTTCTCTTGCACTTCTCCTGCTGTACCATACGGTCTGGGTCGGTCCCTTCCAAGTCGGGTCTTCTCTCGGTCTCCGCTCTGGCACACAGACGCATTTTTCTCTTTTTATTAACTGCCCGCTAGCACATGGTATCGTCATGTTCTGCCCGGCGCCATATTTGACACATATCCATTGCCCTATCAAGCACATCTCCCCATTCCCTCCCCTAGACTTGCCCGGTAAATATCGTTTTGGGCCCAAGGCGGTCTCCATTTTTTACTCTCTTAATTGTTACATCTGACATCTGAGATTGCAGTCTTTACTCTCGGCATATGCACATGCCCATGCTCATCCCAGGCTGGCCTTGTTACACGCAGCCAACGGCGTAGCTCAGAGGCGTTTACAATTTCAACGTCACTGCATTTGTCAAAGCAGTGCCCTTGGAGTATCTTAAAGCCACTCTTTCCTTTAGGTTACGCCTTACTCAAAGATTGGTCTTTCTCTATCTTCACCCTCCCCCAAAAGCCCTATCTTGAGCATGTTCCGTTACTCTTCTCTTTCGTTGGCTCGGATGTCAAACGGCAGTACATCTCGGATAGTTCTCTAACATTTCATTACCCTTCCAAGGCTCTCTGCCGCTTCTAGCCTCGCTAGTCACCCTCCTAGTAGTCCTAGTTTTGAAGTTTTGTTACCTGGTCATATCGTTGCCGTCCGTGATGGCCCACACCTGTGCATCTCGTCGTGATCGTCTCCTCTAGCCTCTCATCACCCTCAGTACCATGCCATCGTCCTGTCATATCCTATGACACGCCCTCATGGGCGGGGTTACTCGTCCTTCGTTGACGAATGGTGTCAAGATGAGTTATCCTGAAGTTCTTCCGGCTTGGCCGATCAAGGTTTCTGAAAAAGTATAAAAAGGCCAGAGTTGATGCTGTTGACGCTTTCTTCTTCCTCTTCCTTTCTCATCACTCTTCAACCAACTCCTGACTTGAAGTCCCAGCTTGCCCAGCACTTATACACAGTCCCCTTGACTTGTTGTCTTGATACACGACTATCATACCTCAACTGAGCTTCACTTGTCCTCAGCCTACTCAACTTTAACAATCACTCGGATCACTTGTCAAAATATTCAATTGGCATAAACACTTCTTCTTCTCTCTTAAATAATCACCATGTCTTCTCATTACACTCCTGCAGGCTATTCCATGCCTCTTCCCGTTCCCTCCAAGGGCTCCCAATACCCCACCTACAGCCAGTATTCCGTCTCGCCTCCGGAATGTGATGACTCGGTTAGCTCCGCCTCGGGCATCCCCTCCTACAGCAATGGTGGATACTCGGCTACCTCGTCCGGGTACCAATATTCTGGCGGGTACGGCGAATATGAAAGCACTCGCTCTGCTAGCGGCGTTGACTTCCAAGAGTACATGCAAGACCGCTTTGCCAACTCTTTTGACCCAATCCCCCTTGACCGCAGTATGGCCATGCAAGCTCAGACGTAAGTGGATCTCCCATCCGATTCCCACAAACGCGAAGCAGACTATCTTTGTTCGCCAATATTCGCAAAATGTTACACAAGCTTGCCGTTAGCGGCAAAAGACATTTGGCCAGCATGTATACTGACTCGATTTTGTGGATAGATCTGGTAAAATGAATGCCAAGCACCGCGAGCTTATGGAGCTTCAGAAGAAGGCGCAGGCTCGTCTTGCGAAGACTCGCGAGCGGTTCCAGGAGGGTATGCGAGATGCCCATGAGGTGCGCAGCGATCTTGAGTGGACGCAAAAGAAAGTTGGGTAAGTCGAGCAAACTTTGCGATTTTTTGAGCCCTATGGCAAACGCAACTGCAGTTTTTCATACGCGGCTCAAATTGCAGAGTTAAAGAGAAGTGAATTGAGACTAACCGACCATCATAGCTCGCTGAAGACCAAAGCTTCTCGCAAGCATGGCAAAGAATACAGCAAGGCCCGCGCCCGATTTCCATCCCCTGAGAACTAAATGATTCTTTGGGTCTTTCTTTGGAGTGGCATTTTGAACTTTAACGACCAAAAACTTTACTTAGCGAGCAACTTTCGGCCACATGCGATTCACCAAAATTTCCTACTTGCGCACATAGTTTCACTGCAAAATGCAGGAACACACGATATCAGATTCCCGGATTTCCAGATTAATTTTATTTTATATTTAGCGAAGATTTCACGCTTGTCATGCCACCCTCATCCCGACCTGCATGAACTACTCGTTCATGCAAGGGGAGTGTGAGGTGACGTTGAAATCAGGGGCACTAAGCGCGGCAATTGAGCCGCCTGGCGCGCAGTGTCTTGCTGCTTTTATGCAGAACAATGGCATGTGTGTGGGTACTCCCTAGCCAGGAACGCCAGCCTTGTGGCTTCTGGGGCAGGTGTGGGGGAAAACACGCGGAGAGGGCGAAGATGGGCGGCTTTCTCACGACTTATGGCTTATGATTGGATGAACTGAACGATCTAGGTGCGGTTGTTAAAAGTACACCTCCTCCCCAGCTTCAGTGGGGTGCCAGGGATAGCGTCAGCGGGTTTGCACCAATACATGATGTGTCGGAACCGATTGCTGCATGGGAGACGTGCTGGGAACCTCCCTGGGTATGGGTGACGCGGGAGCAGCCGAGGGCTGCAAGGTCGTTCTTCTCGTGGCATTTACCGAGGGGGGTGCACTGAGTGAGCAACCCTGAAAAGCACTGGAGCAAGAAGAGGGCAGGATGGAAAAAGTAGCGGACTCGCAAAGCAGTGTATTTCAGACGCTTGCCCTAATCAGGGGAGGCAGCGACGTTGATGTCGCTCCATTGGGTAACGCGGCGAGTCTGGAGAGCTGATGGGACCATCTTGGGAGGAGCTAGGATCTGTAGGAAGGTTTTCTCTGTGGATATCTCGACTGGAGTATGGAGTCTCATAGCAAGCAATATCTCGTTTCCCCTCTTTACTGAAGGCATAGCCCCGGGACCAATTGATGTGATAACCCCCCCGTAGATGTGATTGACCTGCTCCCCACGCCCCTCCAGCATCGGCGAGCCAGTCTGAGTAAGGGCAAGCATGTGATATGAGGTATATTGGCGGAGTGAGTGGAAGTCTCGTCGTAATGGTACTCGGAGGTTGTTAAGACCCCTGTCGCATGTGTCACATGACGGACCACGTGACAGAATATTTGATATCAAAATCTGCCTATGGCCAAAATGTGAGCCATGGCCCTGCAGTACCGCGTCAAGTGCTTCCCGAGGTAGTCCATGCTAAAGAAGCTTGCCTCTTGACAATTTTAAGTTCGTAAATCCCATGTGCATCAGCAGTTGTCGTCGGTGTCAATGCTTCAGGCAGGAGCGTCACCTGTCGTCGCAGCGTTCCCAGCATTTGGAGTGATCCACGTTCCCCTTGTCGTCAAGCCCCGGGCCTTCTCGATCTTTTCCCAGGGATTCTCGTTGGACAGTCGGTCGTAGTATCCCGAGAACTTGTTACCCCTGGCCCCATGTGCGCCTGAGTGCTGGCCTTGAGGTGTGGCTTGCGCCAGAGCAGGTCTCTGGGGTAGACTAGCCGGGCGCGCTTGCGCTGGCACTGTCTGTTCTGGGTTGGCATCTCCTCCGTTGTCATCATCATCGAGTGAAATCTCATCCTTGTTTGAGCCGGTTCCTAGAGCTGTAGAGTTTGCGCCGGTTGCCGATGACTTGGACGGTAGTAGAGCATCAGCATTTGGGTTGTAGCGACGGCGCTTGGAAGGTGGTGATGCGGCGCCGAAGGATGAGAAGCCCATCTGAGCCATGAGATCGTCATCAGAGACTTCCACGTCGTCTTCTGTGGGGTCCATCTTGCAAGCGTGAAAAGGAATGTGTTTGAGTGTGGTTCACTTGAATAGTGAGGCGGACGGTGAGAAGTGTCCCTTTGGGTGAGTGAAATGAGGAGATTAATGAGTGAAGTGAGCCAAGTGAGATGGTGGAAAGAATGAGGTGTGTCTGGTGCAAATGGAATCTGGGGTTGAGGCTGATAGTGGAGTTGTGGCTGTTGGGCAGCTATTGTGGCTTGACTCTTGGGCTTGTCCATCCCCTGGCGTCCGTCTGGGCATCCGTCGGCGGCATATGGGACCAGCAAGGATTAGAAAATATGTACAAGTAAAAACAAAATTATGATCATGGCATAAACCGTGGCATCTCGTTTTACATACTAAAACAAATCGTTGATACAGATATGCTGGACTATGGCGCAATGCCCTGAAGCTGGGTACTAAGTAGGTATCGCAGCCAATGTTTGAGAGAGAAACGAAATATCAGTGACATCAGACTGATGATCAAAAGGTCCCGACGAGACTTAATTAGAAACAAATACCTCCGTAGGCTAGGATAGGTTATGCAGTCGGAAGATTTAACGAAAGTCGACGAATGACGATGGATTTTCCCTGGTGTTTGTGTAACAGATCTGCGGCCACCCGAAGCCTGGCGTGTTTCATTTCTTGCTTGTGAAGAAATTAGGTACCAAGCAGGCCATCTCATTATCAAGCAACCTTGCAATTGCAATTTTTTTCATGTGAAACCATCTGTTCTTCTCACAAAAGCAGTCTAATATACTCATCCTTACCTAGTTTCATCCCATCTAAACTAACATTTTCGTTGCTTCTTTCTGTCAACTGGGAGACACGTCATTGAATCTACACTACTACACTACTTCACTACCTAACAGAACATCAATCATGGCCGATCCAAAGCCCATCAAGCTCAACCCCCCAACCAAATATGCCCCATCTACCAAGAACTCACCTCCCGTGGACCCTCCCACGCTCGACTGGATCACCACAACGTGGAGCGTCACGCACTCTACCCTGAGCATGTGGCGCGATGCCCGCAACGTCCGCATCACATACAAGCTCCTCCCCGGAACCGCAGATGGCCGACCCCGTCTCGACGACCTCGTTGAGTACGAGCCGCTCTCCAAGGACGGAACGCTCAAGACGGTTCAAGGCACCGACACACAGGCTTCGTCTATCGGATGGGACTGGAGGGGCAAAGGATGGTTGGTCTTTGTCAACTCGCACTGGGAGCTACTGGGCTGGGGCGAGGCAGTCACTTCAGAGGGCGTCAAGGAGAGATGGGCGGTTACGTGGTTTGCCCCTACGGTTTTTACGAAGGAGGGCGTTGATATCTACTGTGATCGTAAGGAGGGGCTGAGTGAGGAGACGTATGTGAGGATCAGAGAGGCGTTGAAGGGATTGGAGACCAAGAAGGTGCCTGAAATGGTTGAAGCTCACATGCAGCCTGTTGAGATCAGGTTGCCGTGGGTAGAGGGAAGCCATGAGTAGGCGACGTGTTTGGAGGAGCTTCTTAGTTTGACTTTTAGTATTTTGATGTAATATACCCTATCGCTTGGAATAGAGATGCTGCCTACCTAATGGATGTGCACAGATTACAGAATTATGGCATCTTTCCAACATCATGTGAGCTCAATGAACTTTGTCTTTTAAGTTCTTAACTAGAGGATCGAGATAGACAGCAATAAGCACCCTGACGTGTTGCGGGCTGTTCTTTACCAAGGTATTATGTAGACGTTCTTGCATCATAGCCATCCTTCCAGATAAACCTGTTACCAAATGATCTGGCCACACCCTCAGGAGCTCCAATTGACTATTGAAAACAACTCATCATCATAAATATGACGTTACGGCCGTAGTCACAATGTCAGGCAAGACTCACAGCGTACGTCACATGAACGGAGCCTTCTTGTGAGAGTTTGTATCTCCCTAGCTAATAAGAGTCAGATCGAGTATGAAGATATCAAAGGGTACAAATCGTGAAAGTCATTAAATGGGTATCTTATGCTAAGCTATCGGGTTTTCGAATGGTGTCGTCTTCGCTCATTTCCAACCCCCTCTGAAGATCGCGAGTCTCCTTTTTGATATCCATCGTCTCTCCGGGGTCTCTCTTTTCGTTCTCCACTCTCCTCGTAGTGTCGCCTCTCCTGCCGTGACCCTTCTCTATCATGACGTTCATGTCTTCGGCTTCGTGAATCAGAATGACCACTGCGGCTATGACTTCCTTCTCTTGATCTGTGTCTCCGCTCATGTCGACTGGGAGATCTCTCCTCGTCACGATCGCGACTCCGATGTCGCTCTCTACTCCTATCCCTTTCATGATGCCTTCTACGCCGTTTCTCACGATGTCGTTCATCTCGGCGCATCTGCTTCAGCTCTTCTTCTCTTTCTTCTTGGAAACGCTTCCTCTCCTGTTTGATCTCTCGAACCTTGGAAGCTCCCTTTTTCATCATGGCGAGAGGGTCGTTGGAGACTATGCGCTTGGCATCTCGTTCTTTGCGATTAGGGTCCTGGTTTCCCCATACGTCTTTTGACGAGGCATCGGGCGCCGCAGCATCAGATTGAGAGTACCATGGTTTAAGAACGCCATCCTTTCCAGTAGCATTCGAGAAGCGCATTGTATACTGGTCCTCGTAGCTCTGCTTTTTCTTCTTCGCTTCCTTTTCAGCCTCTTCATTCTTCTCGGCGTGAGCTCTTGACTTCTCATCGCCCAGAAGATCAATATGTCCATTGTGATCCACAAGGGGCGCAGAACTTGTGCTCTTCTTCTCAGGCTCTATTCTGACAAGAGCCGAGTTGTCATTTTCTCTTGCTATTCGCATCTCAAAGTCGGTATCGTCCTCGCCTGGTCGTTTTCGCTTTCGTCGCGTACTCGTCCTTTGCGACGCATCGTGATCACGAACGGGAGGCTCCTCGTCTTTTGGTGCTTCATCGTCTTCTATCGGCTGTGGTGCTTCGCCTCGAAGAATAGCTAAGCGCCGTTGTGCATCTATCTCTTGCATGCGCTGCTCCTCAGCTTCTTCGGCGGCCTTTGCGGCGGCTTCATCGCGACGAACACGGGCGATGTTGTCGGCATTGTACACGTTCCACGACTTTTTCCCTAGTAAGTGGCTATAGAGAGTTAGCTTACGTGGCAATTGGGTAGGTACTTGAACAATCTGGACTTACAGTGGCATTTT